CTTCAAGAGTACTCCAAGTAAACTTCTTGCCCACTAATCCCTATATCAGAGTCTGCTTACTGGGGAACCTAATCTGTAACAGTTGGTGACAAGAGTGGTCTGAGAAAGCAGACGCTGTGATGAGATTGGGAAGCCATAACACTCACTGTCTCACTCTCAATGAGGATCCTATCACATTAATAGGTGGGGCGTTTGTGGACCACACATAGCCCTTGACACAAGGTAGCAATGGAATTGTTAAAACTTTCACTAGTGGTAAGTGGGATGATATATTAGTGGAAGGAAATGAATTAGTGGGAACGATGTATCAACACCTTAGAAGTATGGAAGAAAGAGTAAATATAAGGAAAATGATATTGGGTGATATTTACTGGGCAATTGATGCTCTGGAAAGAGAAAATGAAAAGCTGAGGACAGTTACTGTTGATTAAAAGTTGATTATCGAAGTCAGAAGGCCTCCTAGACAGCATAGAAAGAGCAGCCAGAGGACCAAAAAGGCTGGAAACTAGGCACAGGACTTAATAAAAGTATATCATATTTATACGTAAAGTTTAATCCCAAAATTAGTCATAGTCTTTGTTGGGAAAGAATGGGATCCTGAGACATGGGATATAGATATCTGAGTGGTGAATATGAAAATCTTGAATCCCTGCTTCTTTTGACCATTTGAGGCTGAAGACCCAGCCCAATGTTCTCTGTTAAAAGGAACTGCTTCCCCCATCTTTCTTAAAGATGAGGCAGAAGGCAATGCCATTCTATGAATCTTCTCCATCTCTCTTCTTAGCCACCAGGCCAATAACTAAGGTTGAATCACAATGTCAACTGACTGGCAAAATACTGGGCTTGTTTAGAGGGGAAAGAGACTATACTCGAGAGGAGCTGCCAGATCTGTCCATCCTCTATTAGCAGAAACCGGGAGAGGACATTCAGACTGGACTCTGGAGTCTTGGATCAAGGTAGGTGGAACATAAAGTTCCATGAAGAGACATTTATCAATATGGGAACATTTTTCTGGGATACAGGACTTAACAAACTTGGCAAGAGATGATGCTAACATGCTTCCAGAATGGATCTTAGAAGCTTGGAGAAAGTGTTAGCCCATGCCAAATAAAGTAAAAATGTGAGGATGGCCATGGAAGACAATAGAAGGAAAGGTGAAAAAGCTTAGATAAGTGCACATGCCAAAACGGATATATTATATGAGGTGGGAGACCCTCTGGGGAAATATCATAAGTAAGTTCTGCTGACCGTAGCAAAAGGGATGGAATGATGAGGGGACATTAGAATCATTGAGAAGATCGCTGCAGCTGTCATCTATAAGCCAGAGCTGATGGTAAGAGATGCTATCACTGAAGTAGTTTTGCTGATGGCAAAGGCAATAGCAGCATTCTGAGATAACAGAGGCATGTAGAAGCCAGGCAAGTACAATTATCATAATGAGCAGTGAGATCTCAGTTGTAGCCAGGGAGGCCTGAGCCACAGAAAACTCTGGAGATAATTAATAGTATGTAGTATCTCTGGGGACCAGATAGATTGTCAGCCATCAAGGGTATTTCTCAATCTATTTAATCAGAAAAGTTAATGATGAATGATCAGGTGGTTGAGAGTAGGCATCTCAATAAAGAAATCTTGATTCATTCCTTAATTTTTGTACCTGACTCAGTTTTTGTACCAGAAACTTACTAACTTCCTCTCAGATTCCTGGGAGAAAGGACCCACAATACTACAGCAGATATACAAAGTAATGATTTCTCTCATCTTCCCCAAAACAATGATGATATCTATTTACCCTTGAAGCCATATACTGGAGAGAAGAGAATGCCTTGACATTTTTAGTATTATTGGTCTAAGGGTCTGAATTGCCACTGATACTCAGAGACCTGAATCATCATTTTTGGCTGTTTCTTATAGTGAAGTCATATGACGTCCAGTTCACTGTGGATCTACCATCATTGGGTCCATGAATTCATCCGGTGGTCATTTCCTCAGTCTCAAAATGTATAATTGAAATGGGCGCTTTTTGTAGTTGGCATAAAGTCCTTACCATTGATTTCTTGGTTGGCAAAATAATAGCTTTTCTATTAAAATATTACATTGAAGTTTTAAAAATTACCACCTCCCTCCCTCCCCACAGACACAGCCAAGTTAGTATGTCAAGAGCAATATCACATTTAGAGGGCAATAGCAGAGATTAGTGCCTTAAAGACCCCACAGATGCAGGGCTGGTAGTCCCATCATATCTTCAATCAATTCACCTTTCTAGTCCTGAAAAAACCAGATGGATCTTGGAAGATGATACTGAACTATTGCAAACAAGTGGTAGCCCCAATTTCACCTCCTATGACTGATTTGGTTGAAGAGCAGACAGTATTGAATGTGGTGGTGCCCTGTCCAGTTCCCATTTCAGATCTGAAGAGTTTATTCTCCCTGCTTCTAGGAATGATGCCTGCTAACATCCTCAGTTCTCTGCCCTCTCCTGTCAGCTTGCCACAATAACGTCTCCTTGCTCTGGGGCAGCCTGCATCCAAGCTGTGGTTGATGTGGAGGTGAGGGCTGGAGAGTGGGTTATAAAAGCTCGAAGTCTTTGTTTCAGTTGAGGAAATATCTGAAGGGCTATCCCAGCTTCCAACTTCGGAATGTCCCTTGTTATGACTGCACCTCAGCAAAACTTCTCCCTCTGCAAATGCTACTTGCTTCCCATCCCAAGAGTTGATCTTGAGAATACGTGGTAAATGGTAACACACTTGTAGAACACTGCTCCAGGTCTCAGAGTCTGCTTCTTGGGAACCCACTTGAGACAATTCCATATTCTTTCTCTATCACTCTGTTTGCCTTTTTTGTAATTTGCATAAAATTTCACAACATCCGTTTTGTTTCCCTCCCTTACCCCCATTCGGGCCTTATAATAGACCAAATATCAAATAAAATCGTACTGCTGTCATGTTACAATCCTCCAAAAATAGCTTCAGCATGGTCTCCTAGAAAACTGGTAAAGGAAAGTTCATTTTTACACATTTAACTGTGAAATCAGGTGATGATTTACATAACAGTAGGTCTTGCACGTTTAGAAGCTTGGAAATTGCTTAGAGAGTGACTTTTCACTCATGTTTTATCACAAGTTGTTATTAATGACTGATGGAATAAAAATATAGATCGGTTCCTCACTCTTTTCTTTCTTTTGTAATATTTGTCATGTGAATGCCCTGTGTTGATCCAGCATCATATTCTCCCCCACAAAACAAATCTATCCCCCACAAATTGCTTAAATATGTTATTCTATGATTTTATATGTATCCCTTCTGCTGAATTCCAGAGTAGCTATGTCTGAGAAAAGCCAGGATAATACAAGGTATTGTATTTAGTGTGTGTTGTATATGAACTCACTGTAGCTGATTGAATATTCAAAGAAAAAAGCAAAGTAATGGTGTCTTTCCATTAAAAGTAATAATAAAACAGGGATAAATGAGTTCTTTTACTGTTTTTGTCTCATGTGCTCATAGCTATAAACATTATATTTTTTCATGGATATTGGCATACTAGGTAAATAAACATATTTTTTTCAGTGCATTACTTTAAAAGCCTGTTTAAAATCAGTATAAAAATGTACAATTATGAAAGACTGTTAAGACACCTGTGCCTTAGTTTTCTATTCTCAATTCATCTTAGGGCATCTTGCCAGATATCAGTTTGACTTTCTTATTTTAGGCACACTTAGAAACAAGTTGAAGCTGCTGTCCTCATTTCACAAAGTAGGAAGTCAGGACAAAAATATCTATGGCCAACAGAACAAGAAATGTAAAGTTGGATAGATTTTTCAGTTTTTCAGTAGTAACCAGTTAAGAACTGAGTATTGCAATATTCTCAAATTTTGAGGGGAACGGGGAGGGGACATGGGGCACCCTTACAAGTGAAAAAAGCTCATTTATCATATTAGGAAGCCAATGTATAAAGCTGAAAATATATGAATCGAGAGAAGCTCAGAATGTTGGAGATGGCCAACATTAGAAAAATTTAAACAGAAATGGATAAAAATGATTGCATTTGGGGTAAGGGATGGGAGAGGAGAAGTGGGGGAAAGGTGACTTTTTTGCACTATTTAGTGTTTAAAAATATTTGCTCATACTGCTTTAAGAAACTGAATTCAAGTTTACACGCAAAACTTTCAAAATTATTTTCTATTTGTAGATCAGAAGACAGTTTGGCTGCTTTTCTTGTTAAGAACAATTTGAAGAGATCTGAAAAAAACCTATAAATGGTCTGTATGTTTGTGTATTCTTATCTGTTTCTTGTGCCCATAATCTCCATTGTCTTACACTTTACCTATCTTCTCCAGATTTGATGTAAAACTAGAGGGGTTTCTCCCCAATATCTTAGTTTAAATTTAGGTCCAGTTCATGGGTATCAGAGATCTCTTGTTCTAGACCTACTCAGTGATTTAGTGTCTATTTAATCTATTTAATGTCTATTTAATGTCTATCTAATGTCAGTCCTCCATAAGGAGATGAGAACTTGGAATTTACAACTCAGAAAAGAAGTGCTGGATTTCAACGGTAGACTTGACAATGGAAAAGATTACACTTTATTCTTCTTGTCGCTTGAAGCTATATTCCTTTCTAAAACATATTATTTATGTACTCACATTTATTGAATGATTATTATATTCACAGTGATGTACAATGCACCTTTTGGGATACTGAGTAGAATAGAAATAGCTCTTGCTCAAAACAGGTGTGATATCCACCAGGTTAGCTATATACAGCGGCTAAAATAACAAAATTATTGACAACGTCATTAAAATAATTCAGTGATCTGGCCAGGATGGGCTTCCAGGAGGCAGAGCATTCACAGAAAGACACAGTGTGGACATGGCTGAAGAGGATGCTCCTGATGAGGTGAGCAGCATAACCATGGGAAAGGCTTGAAAACAGGACTCATTGTGATGCTTTCCTACAGACCAACATGGTGCAGCAGATCAGGCAGAAAGTAGAAATAAAGTAGAGTTTACAAGTGCTGGTAGTATAGGTTAAGATTATGCAGGATTTTACACGTTAGAATAAAGAAGATGGATGCCCTGTGGGAAATAGGGAGTTAATAAAAATCTTTAAGCAGAGGAGTCAGATATTAAAATGAAAGCTTTTGGAACCCTGGAAATGGTATAAAAATGGGTGAATTGGAGCTCAGAGGGGAGGTAAGAAGCTGAGATAAGTATGGGAGTTATAGCCAGGTCTTTGCTTTACAAATTTCATAACTACTTTTTCATGTTCCTTGGGTAGTTATTTTGTCCTTATAGATCTTCAAATATTTTCTTGTTTGACATCAAACCAATTTTCTTTTCTTAAAATTTTTTCTTTTATACATAATAATACCATATTGCTATGCTTAAAAACCACTTTCTGCATTTCTTGACTCTCTTCTATGCCCATATTCCATTTAAATAAACATATGGGTCCATATTTATCTTATATGGATTAAACTTTAGTAACTTTTACAACATTGGCAGAGTAATTTTATAGGTAGCAAATATCTCACTATAATATAAATAACATTTTATTAGCAGTAACATATTTGAAAAATCTTCTTACATCTTATATTTTAAAAATATTCTTACTCATGGAAATTTAATTTTTTGCATTGTAAACTAACTTAAAAATTTAAAACTAATACTATTAGAATTTTCTAATATTTTGAGAGAATGTAACCAGCCAACAGTTGGCAGAAGAATATATGGGAAATACTTATTATTGTAATACTTTTCCATTACAGTCAATAACTTTAATGTTTATTTTTGGATACCTATTAAACTAAATAGAACTATCCTTTAATAATTTTGGTTTACATCATCACTAACTAAAGAAAATATTGTAAGTATATGGCTCATATTTTATTCAGTGTGTAATTTGTTAATTTACCCCAGTCTGGAACATATGAAAAATCACTGAAGGTAAAGACAGAGAGCTGAAGTCTTAATTCCACAGTTTATACTGTGTAGTTTTTAGGTGTCTAATTCAAGACATTACCTTCTGAGCTTGAACTTGTTTCTTTCTTTTTCCCTGGAAGATGAAATGATTGGCTTAAATGGTCTCTAATGTCTGATTTAATTTAAAAAGAGCTTTCAGTGATATATTACATTTCTGTGAAATCATAGATCCCCATTTGTAATACTATTATTTGGTCTTGATTCTGCACTTCTATCGATTTTTCACTAAGCTCATATTCTTTGTACTGACATAGCAATCCGGAAGTGACAAGGAGTGACTTTGGGAATGGGCGCAGTCACATCAGCGTGCCTCAGTGTAATATACTACTCATTTCCTATATCCAAGTCAATTTCATTCTTTCTCCCTGTGATCAGATGTTCCCTACCAACATTTCAGAGGAAGAGTTTCTATCATTTACTTTACACTGAAGACAGAATTCCTGTTGGTGAGTTTGCTTTTTCTATTCCTTTTAGACAACAGCAGTGAAATTAGTGTCTGATTTTCAGAAAATAGTGCAAGCTACTTATCTCTCTTTCCTAGGTTTTTGGGTGCAAACTCACATATCAATCAAACTGTCAGACTTTTCTTTTTCTTTGATTTATCCTTCAGTGTTAATTCTATCTGAGTCACATTTTGATATCTAAACTATAGGAAATAGGAACTTAAGCATTTTCTAGTGAAAGTGGCAAAGCTTTTAGCAACCGATCAATCACCTTGGCTTTGTGATTTGTAGACTTGACTTCCCTGATAAGCTCTTAGCTAAATGAAATAAATGCCCTTTTAAAGTTCGTTCAATGCAAGCCCCTAGGATTCTATTTGCATATATCAAAAAGGTAAAATGGGGAAAGCAATTTGCTTTCTCTTTTGCCAGCTCTTAGCTCCAGAAAGTCACCAGTAATGCTACTATTTATGGCTAAAAAGGCCAAGTAAGTGGATACAGGACCTTATTCCAAATAAAATGTCTTTTCTTAGCAACATAAATGACTCCTTTCTGTACAAGGGGAGAAAAGAAGAAATACATAGATCACTATGGGTGTCAGTTCTAAGAGCAAAAACAAAGAGAGGAGTTATGCAATGAATTGTAGAGAATATAAAAATCCTCCTAAAAGGCTCTGAGGGTAAAAACTAAGGAGTTGTATACTGCTCTGGATCAAGTACACCAAAACAGAAGTTAATTTTCCCTTAAGCATATGAGTGTGGTACTAAAAGAATAGAACAGAAGTAAAGTTGATGAGTAAATAATGCAATCACAAAACTCTTCAGAAACAGAGGTAAACAACATGACTAATCACCACCATCTCTTCAACATCTTCTCTTAATGATAACTCAGAGACACATGAACAATGTAAGAAAAGAACACTGCATATCAGTTCGCCTTTTTCTCTAATACAGCTCTTGGCATGTTGCATAATTACTATTTATCTGCCTTTCTTTCTCTGCTTCATGTTTATTCCTTATGCTTGGCACTTAGTAAGTACTAAAAAAAATTTATGAATGAATAACTTAATAAGTGAATGATTAATGAAAATAAATATGCCACATCGTTGACAAAATTTTATTTTTCTCAATTGTCTGTGTACTCCAGAGAAGACCTGAATTTCTTGCCCAGTGAAAGTATAACTCTATGAAAATTCAACTTAGAGACTGAGTGTAGCAAAACTAGGTTATTGCCTAGGAGGCATTTAACCAATGAAGAACTTTAGTCAGAATGTCCAAAGCATAAATCTGTCAGAAAATTTCCCCTTATTTCTACATATTATTTTCAGGTGACTTAGAGAGAAGCATCTTGTCTGATCTGCCTCTCTGGAATGAAGAGAGAATGGAAGAGCAAAGTTATCCTTCTGGGGACCCTTTGTAGTATGTGGAGCTTGAGGACAATTATATATAGCACCTTATGGCTTGCTAGGTCAGGATCATGGCCAACATTCCAAAAAGCATTCCTGAGTCAAATGAGGCAATATTAAAAAAAGAAGCCAAATGTGAAGTCACAGAGCTTGGGAACTAAGGAGACAGTGTTTGCAAAGACATAGAAGGAAGGCAAATCTAGAGAAATTCCCAAAAAAGATTCTGAGAGGTTTTTCATGGGTTGGCTTTGGCATCTGAAATTATCCTGGGATTTAGATAAAGGCTCATTGCCGAGTTGGCACTCCTGGGCTTGGCACAGTTTTTTTTTTAAATTTCACATTTATGTTTATTGTAATTTATTTGCAGGATAAAAAAATGTATATTCTGGAATTAGATATTGCTGATGGTTGCACAGCCATATGAATATACAAAATGTTGAATTATACCTTTTATTTTATGGCTAAGTTGGCACTTTTTTTGTGAGGGGGTAGGTTAAATTAGTTTTTTGTTTTCCCAGGATTATTGAGGTATAATTGACATATAAAAATTATGTATACATTTAAGGTGTGAAACATGATGTTTTGATATATGTATACATTGTAAAACGATTACTATAATCAAGATAATTAACATATCCATCGTCTCACATAGCTATCTTTTTTTGGTGAGAACAATTAAGATCTACTCTCAAGTATACAATTTCTAGTATGCAATAGAGTATTATTAACTATAGTTACCATCCTGTTTCTTAGCTCTCCAGAATTTTTCACCCTGTATAACCGAAACTTTTTATGCTTTATCCAACATTTTCCCATTACCCCCACCCCCGGACCCCTGATAATCACCATTCTCCTCTCTGCTTCTATGAGTTTGACTTTTTTTAAATTGTAAATTTAAGTGAGATCCTGCAGTATTTGTCTTTCTGTATCTGGCTTTTTCTACTTAGCATAATGTCCTCCAAGTTCATCCATGTCATCAGAAATGAGAGGGTATCCTTTATAAAGGTGAATAATATTCCATTGTGTATATATATATACACATTTTCTTCATCTATTCTTCCATCAATGGACGCTTAGATTGTTTCCATAGCTTGGCTGTTGTGAATAATGCTGCATTTAATGTAGGGGTACAGATATCCCTTCAAGACAGTGATTTCATTTCCTTCGGATATATACTTAGAGATGGGATGACTGGATCATATGGTAGTTCTATTTTGATTTTTTGAGGAACCTCCATACTATTTCCTATGATGGCTACGCCAGTTTACATTCCCATCAACAGTGTACAATGGTTCTCTTTTTTCTACATCCTTGCCAACTCTTGTTTCTCTGATTAAAGTATTAAAGTGGTAAAAATGCAGATTGCTATGCTCAATTCCAGACCCAATAAATCAAAGTTTTTTGGGAGTTGGACTTAGGTGTGTGTTTTTTTTTTCTTTTACAAGTTCTGCACGAGACCTATGTTCTTTAAATTTATAGAATCAATAATTGAAACCATTTATTTCACTGTTATACTCGTAGGATTATCTTTTTAATTTCAGTCTTCAAAGTTAAACATGACGCATAAATCAACACTTTTCAGAATTGAGCAAATAAGCAATAAATTGCCTCAGAGGACCCACAGCTTTGAATTTTAATCTTGTGAATAAACAGATCTGTGGGTTTGACCTTCACAGGCTATAAACTGAGATACATGAAGAATATAATGCTGTCTGTATTTACTTCTCGTTTGAGCTCCCATTCTATTTTATGGCAGCCTCCAGAAAAATAATGCCATTTCAGGTTTAAACGTGTTTAATTCAAGCTGTGTCCTTCAGGCTTTTCTTTGGAAGACCACCCAAATGTTGGGAACAAGGGGTTTAAGTGGTATTCTAGCATCAGGAGAAGTGACTGGTCTTTGGTCAGTAACTGTCCATTCTGACCGCCCCTGAAATGGACAACACCCTCAGTGTCTCAGACATAGTTACTGCTCACATTCTCAGTTTCTAAGGCACTCTTGTTCCCAGCTGTATCTGGCTGTGTGATCCATGCTAATTTCCACTTCTGGAGCCCCACATGGTAGACATGGAGACACTTTAATGGTCCTACTTGTATTTAATTTCTTGGTAAATTCTGGACGCTCTTCAGAAGCATAGGAAGATCCAGCCGCTTTCCCACTAGGCTGTGTTAAAGTGGTGAGCTCCCCTGGGGCTTCTCAGTACCAGCATTCCAAACAAAAAATTGGGTATGGATCTCCTCCACTTTCGGAAATCCAAGAATCAAATAAGAGCTTCTTTATCTCTCCTATTTTGAAGCTTAAACTCTAAGGTGAGAGGCAGGCCCTAGAGCATTTCTTAGAGTTCTCTAGTGTACAGAATTTTTTTTCTCTCCAACTCTTTTTTCTTTTTTCCCTAAGCCATGAGATTTTTGTGCTCTTCGAACATTCAGGAAAAACACTAATTTATCATTTGTCTCTTATGCCTATTGATCAGGAAAAGATCTTAGCTCTTGCCATTCATAACACACTGGCTTCTGCATAAATCCTTATAATATTGTGTATTTTAACAACCATTACAATCTGGGCATTTTAAATAAACGTTTATTTTCCCAAATTCTATTTTATTTTGTTGGCTATTTTTTTTTAATAAAAAAGGTGCATCCACAATGAAATAGCCACATTTTGTAGGAAAAATGTATAAATTAAATGTTAAAAATAACAAAATAAAACTATAATTTTAAAAGGTATCGTCAGCTGAGGTGTTAGACACACGAGAAAAACCATCTTGGGCTTTCTAGCTCCAGTCTAGATACAAGTTGAATGGAGTTCATGAATATCCCCATCCAACACCATAAGCAGCAGAAAATTGCCTCTGATGGGCTCAGACAACCTATATGATGGTGAGAAATAATAAATTATTGTTGCTTTATACTGCTAAGTTTGATTTGCCTTGTTATACAACAATAGATGACTGACAAGGTAGTAAAAATATTTAAAATTTTTCATATGAATTGAGCTCTTAGTAGAATCACATTGAATTAATTAATAATCTTGCAAGCTAAAGACATGTATAGAGAAGAATGAAGTGGTCTTTTTTGGGCACAGAAGAATGTTAAAACCAATGAACTTGAATATTTAGCCACTTCAAAAAGAAAAAATCCATTAAAATATGGAAAGAAAAGTTAATCAGATTGTTCAGTATGATTTTCTGGTGCACTTTTAAGGGGCATATCCAGACTGTCCCATATTGGTCCAATGTAGTGATCTCCAAAACTTTAAAAATAATTTTATTAAACAATACAACTGTGAGGAACAAACTCTAAGGTGACCCCAAAGAGCCCTGCCTCTGGTGTTCACACCCTTATATAATACACTCTCCCTGAGTGTGGGTGAAACGTTTGACTTGCTTCTAACCAACAGGATATCACAAAAATGATGGGGTGTCACATCTGTGATAATATCAGATTGTAGCACCCTTCTTGCTAGAGACTCTTTCTCCCTAGCTGGCTTTCAAGAAGTGCCCACATTGAGTGGCCCATGTGGCAAGGAGATGAGGTTGGCTTCTAGGAATGGAGGGCAGTCTCCAGGCAACAGCCAACCAAAAGCTGGGGCCTTTTTTATTGATGATTTTTATTTTTTACCACTATGGCTATATCTTTTCCTCAAGGGAATAAATTCTGCCAGCAACCTGAGAGAACTTAGAAGCTCATTCTTCTCCAGTCAACATTCCAAATGAGAACAAAGTCTGATTGACACTGACTGCAGCCTTGTGGAACCGGAAGCAGAGGACCCCAGATAAGGTATGTCCAAAACCTGGACCCTGTGCGATTAGGGTCCTATTAAGTCACTGAGTTTCTGGTAATTTGTTATACAACTATAGATAACTAATACACTAACATTAAAATTTTTCAGTACGACTTCTCCATATTCATATATATTATAATTTACACACTATATGCATTTTGTTAATTAACTTTATGCATTAAAACACAAAAATTTAAAGATAATTTAAAATATTTTTTATGTTTTCATAAACATACAACACTTTGTTTACAATAAAATCCTTAGTAATGATACTTTTTAGTGAGAACATATGATTTAATATTTTTAGAAATCATAATGTAGAAAAATACAGCCAGTGATGCATCTTTTCCATTTGTGAATTCCATGGGTGTCTTTGAGATACATTTTTAGCTATGGGAGCCATTAAAACCCAGCATCTAAGTAAACTAAACTTAGAAACTCACTTGCATATTTCTGTATCACAAAATATTAAGCCAATATTAAAAAAATAAGAAAGCATATTCAAACACATTGCCACCATTAAACATCATATTAACATAATGAATGTCAGTGAAAGTAAATGCTTTATGCCATAAATAACTAAAATTAAAAAGCGTATTTAATCACTTTTATTGAAGTCTTCTAAAATGTACATTTTATATAAGATTTATGATGTGTATACCATTGTGGATAGTAAATAATGTATACCATTTACCCATAAGTAAATATCAGGATTATATACTATGATTTTTTTTAACTTGTAGAATATAAATTACATCTTTCAATCTAAGGAAGATAAAAGGAGATACATTAGGAAAAGGGTGTTTTCTTTAGCTTTTTACACAATCTTTTGGACTCTGGTCATCCTTCAGTTTTAAGGCTAGGAATTTGGGACATCCTGCATATAACCCAAGCTATTCTGCTAAGCTGCAGCTCATTGGCACAACAGGGTCTTGGCAGATTAACTTCTGTGGTTACTCCAAAGACATGTGTTATGAGGTTATTCTTGAGTCTTGACATTGCCTAGCACTGCCAACTGCCAGGGAGAGCATGGCAGGAAAATTGCTCTCTGAACTGAATCCTACGATTTACTTAGAAAGTGCTGCTCATGCGCCAAATGCTGCCCATATAATTACATAACACTGACACAGACTCAGCTTTTTTTTCTTATGTAACTTTATGGGAAGAAAAAAGCTGATAGGAGTTATCTAAATATGTAACATATTATACAGTGCATTTGTATTGTGGAAGATGGATACAAATTCAAAAATGTCTTGTTCACTTAGGGTGTTTACTTATAACAACTAAGTTACTCATGATAGCTCAGCAAAATACAGACCACTTTAAAAGAACATATTTTAGATTAAGCAGCAACTATATTTTTTAAAAAGTCAGTAAATAACATAGAAACTCATACATTAAGATCTTTGGATGTAGGAGCAGCCTTTTCTCTAATTTCTTGTTTTCCGTGACTCCTTTCCCATCTGATCCACAATGCTTTTTTAGTTCCTCCAGAATTTCCTTTGTGCTGGTCACAACCCTCAAGGGTAGGATCCCCGATGGATCAATGAGTTACACACTTCACCATGGCCTTCTTGTGTCTGGGAGCTCTTTTCTATTATTTTAGTTTTGCCTTCATTGATTTCCCTTGATTTCATGCTCATTGATGGTTCCTTAAAAGCACATACTGATTTCCATTCTTAATTGTGCGGTAGAGTAGAGTGCATGCTATATGATAAATTCTGACATCCAGGTCAATCCAGTTTGTTCAGAAAGCAACATATTGGTGATAAAAGAATAGTTCTAGATATAATATTAACAGTTCTGATTTTATAAGAAAAAAGCACTGGGTTATGCAATTCCCAGTCTGTTTTGTTTTGACTCTCAAAGTATATTTATAATCTATTTCTGTGGTTAAAAATGGATTGCATAATATCATATCCATTGTATCTTTTTTTTATTCGAAGTATGATAAAGAGCTTTCTTTTCCTCATTTTTGCTCTATCATAAATTATATCTTTTTTATATGAATGACTATGCCAAACCAGAAAAAAATGCAATTAAATACTGCACAAAGTAAAGATTATCATAGAATAAATGCCTTTAAATCCATTTGCTTTTTAAGGACAATAAATCTGATCAGTTGAGAAGCATTATATCCTTTGCGCATGGTAGGTATAGAGAAATGATTAATTAATTTGAGTGAAATTTAATAACATAGCTTTATGAAGCACCTGGTCCCATTGTTGACTATATCTAATTATTTGAGGTAGCAACATTATGACCTGGTTACTAAAACTGTGATCCGAGGATGAGACTGTTGAGATGTGGATTTCAGGTATGATGTGAGGCAATTTATTTAAGTTCCCTGGACCAATTCCCTCTTCTCTGTGATGGGTCATTACAGTGGCAAACACAAAGGGCTGTTTTGAGGATTTAGTGAGATAATATATAGAATATCACTGGCATGTAGAAGCATACTGTAAATAATAGGCCTGATTATTTTTGATGGTGTCTTAGAAAGCTCTTTCTGATAGCAAGCTGAAAACCATCCACTTGTGTTTTCCAAACTTTGTTCCTTTTTCAGCCTTCTGTAAGAGCCTATATAACGGGATTTCAAGGGTATTCCAAAGAATTCTCTCTCCCCTTCTCCTGCATTCAAATATATCTCCCTTTGGTGCTGCAGTAGTACCATTAGTTTAACAGTTAGTGTTTATTTTTGTAGGATATGATTTGTTATGTACCATCAAGTCATCTCTGACTCCTGGAGACCCTAAAATGAGTGATGTCCACAATGTTCCTTCCTTAACAGCCCTACTCAAGCTTCTGTAGACTCATGCCTATGGCTTCCTTTATGGAGTCAATTCATCTCATGTTTGGTCTTCCTTTTTTAATGATGCCCTCTATGTTTCCCACCATTATTGTCTTTTCTAAAGAATCCTGCCTTCTCATCCTGTGCCCAAAGTAGGACAGACACCCTTTTATCATTTTTTGCCTACAGTGATAGTTCAGGTTTGATTTGCTCTAGGACCCACTTGTTCACCTTTCTGGCAGCCGAGGGTATCTGTAGAGCTCTCCTTCAGCATCATATTTCAAATGAATCAATTTTTCTCCTGTCAGCCTTCTTCACTGTCCAGCTTTCACACCTGTACATAGTAATTGGGAATATGAGGATGTGGATAATCTCAGCCTTAGTCTCTAATGACACTTCCTTACACTTGATCTTTCCGAATTCTTCCATTGCTGCCCTTCTGAATCTCAGACTTCTCTTGATTTCTTGGCTGCAGTTTCCACTTAAATTAATGACTGAACCAAGGTAAACAAAATCCTTAACAATTTCAATGTCTTCATTGTGTACATTAAAGTCATGTGGTTCTTTTGTGGTCATGATTTTTGTCTCCTTGATGTTCAAATGTAGTCCTGCTCTGGTACTTTCTTCATAAGGCATTGCTGCTTTCTGCCAGTAAGATGGTGTCAACTGCGTATCTTAGATTGTTGATATTTCTTCCAACAATTTCACTCCTTCTTCATCTGAGTCTAGCCCAGTTTTTTTGTGTGATATTTTCTGCATAGAGATTAAACAGAGAAAGAGACAAAATACACCCTTGTCTGATAACTTTGCCTGTAGGAAACCATTCAGTCTGTCCTTATTTCGTCCTGGCAGCAGCTTCTTGTCCACAATACACAGCAGGTTACACAGCAGGACAATCAAGTGCTGAGTCATGCCCATTTCTTCCAGAGCAGCCCAGAACTTTTCTTAGTCCATGCAGTCAAAGGCTTTACTGTCGTCTATAAAACATACACTAACTTTCCTCTGAAATTCTTTGGAGCACTCCAGTAGCCAACAAATAACCACAATTAGATCTCATGTGCCTCTCCCTTTTAAAAATCTGGCTTGGACATCAGGCATTTCTTCCTTTTATAAGGTACAAGCCTTTATTGCAGCACCTTGAGAACCACTTTACTTGCACAGAAAATTAGAGCGATGGTCCCATAGTTACTGCATTCCTTGGTGTCTCCTTTCTTGGGGATTGAGATATATATCGACTGTTTCCAGTCTGTAGGCCGCTATTTTGTTTTCCATGTTTTGTTAGCACATTCTTGTTAGAATTTTGACAGATTCTGTCTCTGTAGCTTGAAATAATTCCATGGATATCCCATCTACCCTGGTGAATTACTTCAAGGCAGCTTTCACTTCACCTTCTAAAATTACAGATTCTTCCTCACAGGAGTCTTCCTCAAAGGGATCTGTCACCCTTCTGTCTCTTCTGTATAGATCTTCGGTATATTGTTTCCACCTACTCTTTATTTTCTCCTGATCAGACAGTGTACTTACCTATTGGTTATTCAGCATTTCTAATCTAAGTTTAAATTTTGCTTTGATTTCTTGAACCGTCTGGAAGAGATGTCTTTTTCTTCCTTTTTCGTTTTCTTTTATCTCTTTGCATTGGCCATTAAAGTGGTTCTCTTTATCTCTATGTGACAATCGCTGAAAAATTGCATTCAGGATTCCAATCCTACTTTTGTCACTTTTTACTTTTGCTTCTCACCTGTCCTTAACAATTTGTATTGTCTCTTCTGTCATCCATCTTGATTTTTCTTTCTTTTTACTCAGGCAATGTCTTTTTGCATTTTTCCTGAATGATATTTCTGGTTTCAACCCATAGTTCTTCTGGTACTTGGTCAATTAAGTTTAACAATACAAATCTGTTTTTTATGTGAACTTCAAATTTGTCAGGCATGTTGTTTATATCTTGGCGCTATGATTCTTCTAGTACTCTTCTTCAGCTTTACTCGGATATGTGATATTAACAGTTTGTGTTCAGTACCACAATCTGCTCCTGGTCTTGTTTGGCAGCGAGAATACAGCTTCTCCATCTCCTGCTTCCAATCATATAGTCTATTTGATTCCTATATTGGGTGTCTGGTGATGTCCATGTAGACAGTCATCTGTTTGGTTACTTGAAGCAAGTATTTGTGATGGACAGATTGTTGGCTTCCCAGAAATTCATGAGCCCGTCTCCTGTTTTGTTTCTGACCCCTAGTCCAAATTTTCTAACAATGTTTGATTCTACTTTATCTCCTACTTTTGTATTCCATTCACCTGTGATTACCAGCCTTATTTTGGTGTATGATCAATTTCTTCATGGTTACCTCCATAAAAAGTTTCAATTTCACCTTCTTAAGCATCTGTAGTTGGAGCACAGACTTGAATGATGATTATGTTAATGGTTAATAGGTTTCCCCAGAAGTCTGATTGATGCTTTTTGGTCAGATCTTGTATTAGGGCCCCTAACTGCCTGTGCCACATCTTGCCTCAGTATTAGAGCCATTCTGTTTCTTTTAGTTTGTCATTTCTAGAGTGGAGCACATTGTAGTTGTCTAACTGAAAGGATCCCATTCCAATCCATTTTAGTCCGCTAACACCAAGCACTGCGATATTTAAAGATTCCAGTTCTTGATTTACGAGTTCCAATTTACCTTGGCTCACGCTTCTCCCTTTCCTTGTTCTAATTGTGTGTGTTGTAGAGCGTCGGACTTTCCTTTCATCTTATGCCCTTCAGCTGCTAGGCATCCTGCTGTCTTTAGTCTAGTTGCGTCATTAGCAACAAAGCTATTCGTATTTGTACTTTGTTCTTCCCCAGAAACTGTTTGAGTACCTTCTGACCTGAGGGTCTCATCTTCCCACGTTACCTCATATTTCATTTTGGACTGTCTCATCATAGGGTTTTCAAGATAAAATAATTTAAAAGAAAGAGAAAAAGCAAAACAAAGAGGAAAATACACCAGTGATTTACTGATGCCTTCTGCTACATGATGTGTGGGTCCAAACCACACGTACTTGGGTCCTTGAAGTCGCAGTCACCAAACACCTGTGAAATATAGGTGCCCCTGCAGTAATGATATGATATTGTCTCCCATTAAAGGCAAAGGCACCTCGGAGACTTAACGCATTAAGTGATCACAAGTCCCTAATTTCTCAGTGTTAGTTCATCTAATGACTCTCTACCAACAATAGTCCCCATGGCAAAAACAGGAACAGAAAAGGGATATAGCCATAGTTTGGGGCATTAGTCCTTCATTTCACTAGTGGTTAGTCTTTAGCCCAAGCTCCAGGTTTCTGATCTATTGCACTTTTGATCTTGGCAGCATTTCATATGGGAAGGAATTAGGCTGCACTGTCAGATATTATGTTCCTAATTCTTGTTCAACTCTGACAGTGCTCTCAAATCCAATCATTGTAAGAATGTTTACGCTCAAGCCCTTCTTCTGTTACCATTTTCAGAGCAAAATTGGAGGGATGGGCTGGAGTTTAGAATCGTCAGGCCAAACAATTTGGTTTTACCTTTAGGGGTCTTTGAGATTTTAGTCTGTTTCTCCAGCCCACAGTACTATCTTCTTCCTCATTCCACTAAAATCTTCACCTATGGCTGCCGTCTTCCTCCATCTGTACCCCAGCTGTCTCAAGATATGAAATGTGCTGAGGCTCTCTGCTCATCTTTGAAAAACATTACTTTTTTCAGAATTCCATTCTTTAAGTGTTTCCTGTGACCAACAATCCATAGAAAAGTATGATTTTAATTTTATCCAGGTTTCTCTCATTGTTGTCTTTTGACATCCTCACTGGAAGCAGAAGGATTTCTTTCATATGTAGAAAGGAAGCTTTATCAGAGAAGTGGTTTTCTCTCTTTACTTTTAGTCCATTTCATGTTGATGGGAAAGAAATTGTAAATCGGAATTGAAACCTCATTGAAAGAATATTAAGGTTCTTTCTTCCATTTCCTCGTTTAAACTGAGTTGCAAAATTGACTTTGAAATCCATTGCTAATTTCTAAAACATGAAAGGAATTATTAGGAACTTAAAATAGTCTAAAAATGCTGTCATGTTTTCTGATGTAGGCGTGTGAAGTTTTATTGCTGCTTTTAATGAGACGGCAGTTAGTGAATGTGTTCACGTTACGAGTGAGCAAGGCAAAACCTGTGCCTTCTCTTTGAATTTTCTGTAGTAACCCTCATTATGAGTTGGTTACTTAGCAGTACAAATTTTACTGAGACTCTTTCTTCTAACCAAAATTTCTGGGGAGAAAACTCTTGAGTAGATTGGTCCTGACTTTAGGAGAAGTTTATTAACATTTGAATTACCTAAAGTATTCTAATCAGAAACGATCTAGAGGTGGTTTGGTAGCCTTTGAGACACTAATCAGAAGCCTTCACTCCCAAGGTCTTAACTCTAACTGTCTGTAATTAATACCAAGTTTGTTAATTAGCGCAGTAAATGTTTAAAAGGATTTTCACTGTGAAATGAAAAGTACTCAGTATATGTGGAATGGCTAGAAATATTATACAGCCACTCCCATCCTGACATGAACAGGGAATAAGAATCTAGAGAGTCAAGTAGCCTACAGCTTTCTGAATGGCCCAGCAAAATTGCAGATTCTATGTTGTTTATGGAGGTTTCTGTCACTTGGTTCCATCTAAGTTAGCTGAGTTTTGTCACTAGAATATTATTGCATCTGCCTGGTTATGTTCATTGTTGGTGGGTTGATAAATAATAATCTTGAGTATTGATACCAAGGAATATTTGTACCAAATGTTTCCTTTTTCTCCTAGTGGGAGGGAAGTGGTAGGGAAAGAAGAAGTAGAGTTTAAAGTATCATTGTTGGCATGGCAAAAGAATGTGTGGGATAAATGGAAGAAAAGGAAGCATGATCAATTCTAAATGATTGCTGAAGCAGTAATGAAGGACTTGATAGAGATGCTGCTGCCTGAATGAAATTTTAAAGATAATTAAGTCTTCATTGAATGGACAACAATGCAGAGGTTGGCTATGGCAACAGCATAGCAGAGTGAGGGTTTGGAATGTTCTTTTCAAAGAACTGGAAGTAATACAGTATGACTGAAGAGTAAGTTGCCTTCACATGAAGTGCCTTGAGTATCTCACTAAGACGCTTGGCCTTTATTTTCAATCATTGTAGAGTTATGAAAAGATTTTAAGCAGAAGAATAACATGATCCAATTTATGCCTTAGATAGGTTATTCTGACAAGAGCGGCCGGTGTTGTTGGCAAAGAGAGCAGCTAGAAGATTGTAGCAGAGGCTGGTTAGCTGTTCACCAAATCCATTTTCTCTTTCTCTTGAGCACACAACTTTATATTGTATATTCCAGTCTCTCTTAAAGGTGAGTAAAGCCATATAATGAGTTCTGGCCAAAGGAAAATGGATAGAAGTGATGTATGTTACTTCTAGGCCTGGCACACAAGACACATCAACATGCAGTCCTATATATTCTCTACCTCTAGGAAGTGGTATATGAAGATGGTAAAGCCATTAGGCAGAAATTATCTGGGTCTCTGGGTCATTATTTGGGGGAGTACCATCCATGAAATTATCAAAAAATCTATTTTGGATATTAATTTCCGCTGTGTTAAACTACTGAGGTTTAGAGGTTAATCTGTCACAGAAGATTTGTTCCAATGAAATGGAGATTATTACTATGGTTTGGTGAGGGATGACAAGATCCTGAAACAGAGCAGTGGTTGCAGGGATAGAAAGAAATGGATATTATAATAGATGTTTAGGAGATAGAAATAGCAAGGGGTATTGACTAATTTACTGTGAAGTAAATGGAGGAATAGAGAATTACTTTCAGCTTTTCAGCTTGGGCAGCTAGGAAGATGGTAACAGTAAAAATGGTAATGATAATATAGGATTCATAGGCTGACAATAAGGTATTTTGAAAAGATAATTATTATCAATTTGAATCTACTGATTTCAGATGTAATTATTTGAAAGATTATTTAATTTGTTTACAATTTTTTATTTTTTTCTACCCTTTGCCATACCTTAATGTGGGTAGAGTATACTTCCCAGCCCCATTAATTTTGGGCCTGGCCTTATGATTTTCTTGGACTAATTAAGTGAGAGGTAGAAGCTTCAGTTTGTCAGTTTCAAGCAGAGGCATTAAGAGACCTTAAGAGATATGTTTTCACTTCCCATGATTGCTCTTGTCTTCTGCTCTTTACCATGGGAACATCATAACCTCAGATCTATTTCTTCAGCCATCCAAAAATGGTTCATTCCTCAACAAAACTTGGAGCAGAGCCACCACTACTGACCCAGAGATCCTATAAACAAGAAAGGAATGTTTGCACTTGTAAACTACATGAATTATGCAATGTTATCACAGAAAAAAATGGACCTGTATAGATGAGATAGTTGAAGGCATATAATAGGGAGCTAGGAATAATATTCTGAAGAAAAAAATCCTGGGCATATGGATTTTGGAGTTATGATGATTGAAGTCTTTAAGATGGAAAATGTCATCAGGTAAACCATAGAAGAGAAGAAGTCCAAGGATGGAAGGAACCCTAAGAGGAGCAGCAAATAATGTGTAGGCCAAGAAGAGAATGTATAGTGGAGGATGAGAATGAATAGTCAGAAACATAAAAAAAGCAGAACCAAGAAAAGGTAATGTAATGAAAACAAAGGGATGGCTGTGCTTCAAGGAGAGTGTTATGAGCAATATCAAACATCACAGCGAGTTCAGGCAAAAAAACACTGAAAATAACCCTTTGAATACAGCAATTAGAAGACATTATTAAAAGTCACCCTTTATTGTAAGGTTTCCAGTGGACTTAATACATTCTGCACATTTAATTAATGCTTGTTCAATAAATTCTTGTTGAGTGAGTGCCTTTATTCAACCGTACTTATGCAAATTTTAAAAAAAGGCATCAAACCAAAAACAGTGCTGGCATCTATTCAGCCTTTTGTACAATGAAGCTTCTATATTATATGAATCCAAAATACTATTGTGTGCCTTAAAAAAATTACTGTTTTACTTTTAATTGTATAAAACAATGATTTATTAAAATAATACTGTAGAAATTGAACTCAAGTATATTTTAGGAAAATTTGATGCTTGAAGGAAAAAATACATCTTTTGGCTCTTCAATTTAAAAATGTCTCTAAATTGGTAGATTTTACCCACTTAGTCAAATATTTAAGATGACATTTAACAGTGCCAATAAACCCGATTGACAGAGTTAAAAATGATATATATACTCTTAATTTACTGAATTTAAGAACAAACAGAAGCTCATTCAGAACACTAAGGAAGACTCAGAATACTACATATGTAATGTGCCTGATTGATTGCCTGTTCGGAAAGAGAGATTCACAAGGTTTTATGCACTGTATCATAGAAAAAAAATTTTTATTTTCCATTCTCTTTTTTTTGCTGAGGAAGAGTCTCCCTGAATTAACAAATTTTGCCAATCTTACTCTTGTTTTGCTTAAGAAAGATTAGCCCTGAGCTAACATCTGTGCCACTCTTCCCCTATTTCACATGCTGGTTGCCATCATAGCATGGCAGACAAGTGGTGTAGGTCTGTGCCAGGATCTAAACCCTTGAATACGGGCTGCTGAAGCAGAGCACACCGAGATCAACTACTGCTACATGGGGCCAGCCCCCAAGAAAAGTATTTTCATTAGGAAACATTTAGATGACTGCTAGTTTCCTTAGGGAATTTTCTGGATGATAAACCATTAAACATTTTGTTACAATTTGCCCCCTAAAACCTCCTGCAGTGTGCAATTTGTGCTATGTAGAAAAGCTTTCAGGATGCATGGCAGAAAAAATTATTGGTATTTAATCTACTGAACTGGAACACACAAGAATAGCTTTTATATTCCAGAAAGATATTGTGAACAATATCTCTACAAATATATTATATTGCTATTCTGGTATTGTAAAACACACTAAATATCCTTAAATATAAGCATAACAGTGTTATCTCTTATGGACTCAGTATGAATACAAAAGTTATGAAATGAATTTTGTGTGTGTGTGTGGCTGAGGAAGATTTGCCCTGAGCTAACACCTGTGACAATCTTCCTCTGTTTTGTATGTGGGTTGCTGCCACAGCATGGCCACTGATGAGTGGTGTAGGTCTGCATCCAGGAACTGAACCTGGGCTGCTGAAGTGGAGCACACTGAACTTTACCACTAGGCCATGGGCTGGGCCCAAAATGAACGTAGTTTTTGAGGGCAAATATAAGAGAGAAACTGCAAAATCTCCCCATGCATATTTCTGAGGCACCCAGGAGGTTATTTGGGTAGGCTGAAGGTTTCAACCTAAATGATGAGACCTATTTCCCATTCAGAGAAATCAGAGCTCCTTTAGCTGACTCTAATTCATTCAACCCAGGAAAGCTGAAATAGTTCTGAACTGACCTTGACGGAAGACTGTAGACTACTGAGTTTCTTTACTGAAATAATTGCCTTGTGGTACCTTTCAGTGGACATCATGAGTTGGATCCTTTTTTGGACTGATTGATGTTTTTCTTTCCCTTGGTATGATACTGACTGGTCCCCATACATAGTGAATTTTTGCCACTAGTATGCAACTTCTGAGCAAACTGTGCACTTCTGCTCCTATGGGCCTTACCAAGAGTCAACTGTGTTAGCAGTTAAACCTGCTTATGCCAGTTAAATTGCTATTGTAATTACGTAATTTAGATATTACATAATATGGTAAAATATGAATTAGAAGAAAGTTGTGGTATTAAGTTTAATACCTTGGAAAACTTAATAAATGCGTTCAGATTAGGTGTATGCTAGACACCTCTAAAATAATGGAAGGAAAATCATGAAAAATCCCAAATCCACAGGGATTCTGCATTCAGTTTACTTGCAAGGGTCTTAATGTTCTTGCTCTGCTTTTAGGAACCATAAACTAGAAATCTTAGATAATACACTATGATTACTGTTTACAAAAGAAAGACAGTTTGAGAGTCTGATCACAGATTTTTACTCGAAGAAAAGTCTAAGATTGCAAATAAATGTAAATATATAGGTGTTAAGTTAAAAAAATGGGGTTATGGCTATCTGTTTTTCGAGAATATCTGTTTTAAGTAAATTTACTTAATCAATCTACTTCATGTTTCTATCTCATTGGGTAAGAAGGCTATTAGGATGTTGCTCAGAACTCCTGAAGCCTTGCCAGCCAGCCTGCCAAAACTCTTACCTTCGATTCTTGACAGTAATCGTTTGTGTCTTTGTGACTTGATGTCTCACTTGCACCAACTTCCCTAGTGATAATTTGCGCTATTACTACCACACCTAGGTGTAGCCCCACATCAGAGCAGCTAAAACTGATCTTTGCATTGACGAGGGTTGTGTCTCCTAAGATAAAGCCGATGGTGCTGGAAGACCCTGTGAGGCTATGGCCTGGCATACAACAGTGCTCCATAAATGTTCGTTGAAATAAATGTCCCTAAACATCCTAGCGGGCAGTGATTCCACTCATAATTTATTTTTCTTTGGAAATATGATTTCCATAGCTTTTTTTTAAGTGTCACATTGTTATATGAATGAGGGTGTTTTTTTTCATTTTTTTCATCCTGTTATAGTTTAAACAAACATTGGCGTATTCCAAGCGTTATCTTTACAGGTAAATTTCCTTAATGTTTTATATATCACTTATAAGTAAGTCTTATTATTGATCTTATGATCTTAACCACAAGGCAAGTAGATAAGTACTCCACTCAAGAAGAGCACCAGACTTAAATCAGAAGAACGTGTTTAAGTCACAAGTATATCATCCCACAGGAGCCCGACTTTAGGGAATTCATTTAACCTTTTCTTCTGAGCCTCATTTTCCTCATCTAAAATGTCAGTGCATTTTAACACACTATAGTGACATGTCATTATTGCAGATATTACTCCTTGTTGCTTTGAGTTGGATTACTGCTTTGATTTTTTTTAAAAAACTTTATTGCATCCTCCTGAAGCTAATGCTTAAGCAACTTTATAACACCCTTTTATAGAGGAAATGCATATCTTTACTTTTTAATTCTAATTTAACTTGAATGGGAATCAAATTCTTGTTCAATTATAGATTAACACAAGGGGCAATTGTCCTATTTCAATTGTGTAGTCCCCATGAGAATACTTCTTCCCTAGAACTATGTTTAATAATGAGACTTTCAGCGTGAACTGGAGTCCTGGATAGAGAATCACGAGACTTGGTTTCTATTTCTGACACTGTAACTAATTTGGTATTCTTTTGGGACAAGGCATTTAACCTCTTTTCAGTTTAGTTTTACCATCTGTAAACTGGTATAAAAATGGCTTCTAGGATAGAATGTCTGCAAAGTTGCTTTTATTAAGGCAGATAAGATTTAAAAAATATGAATAAGAAAATAAGGTGCACTCTATTGTAAGTGAATGGCTAGGTTGTATAAACCTCAGGCAGCATAATTGTATGTAAAAATATCTGGTATAGATAGGATCGATATGAATTATTCATTTTCCTTTCTCTTTAAAGGAAACACATAGGATAATTCTTTGCCTTCCTTTTAAGGATATTTTAAAACAATAAAAGGCAAAAAGACAGAGTATTTTTTTCCCTTTTTTGTACTAAGACAACAATTGTACAGACCAAACTCCTTGGGAGGTAGTTTGAGAATCTCGTGCTTGACCACGCACTGCTCCAGCAGAGCTGGGCTCATGGTGTCTAGTCCTTTTTTGTTAAAATTGGCCAGAGTAGAAATTAAGGATAGAGGATGTCTAAGTCAATTTCCTCCCTGAGGTTCCTTCAAACTCTAAAAAATTTAACACGTCCTCACTGTTCTTGCTTCTGATGCTTTTTCCTTGCTTATCCCTAGTGTTCAAGTTACCCCCACGATGAGACCGTCCTGTGGAATGGAAATAAAGTTGACCTCTCTGGAAATCAGGATTGAATAAACCAGATGTGCTGGTACTTTCCATGCATGTTGATCACATTTCAATTTTTACAACTGCTAGTTCAGTTAAAAAAAGGAGACAGTGTTTACAGCTCCCACAACTAAAATTGCTAACTTAAGTCCTAAATAATTCATATTATGTCACTTCCTATTTCTAACTCAGGAAATATTGTTCTTGTCAAGCCTCAGCCTGTTAGAAATAACTCTGTGAGAGTTTCAGAAGTGCATTTCCAGAGTAGGACAGCAGCATAAGGCTTTATTTCTTTCCCCAACCATTTTTGGTTCCCAAACTCTCTGGGAAACTGAAGTAGCCAAGTTTTACGTCAGAGATGAAAAGCTTTCTGAATTAGTTGTGGGTCTCCAGAGGGCACATAAAGGACTTAATATCATTAGTGTGTGTTTATTGTTAGGCAGTCATCTAAAGCTTAGTACTTTATATTTTAAAAGCCAACAAAAAGAATTCTTTTTTTCTGAGAAACTAAAATGCTGACATTAACCACACTGTTTACAAAAAGAAGGAAAGGAGGAAAAAAGGAAATTACTAGGAGGGAGGACAGACAAAGAGTTTGTTGACTAAAATGAAATTTGAGTTTTGATGACATAAAAGAGAAATTATTCATCTTCAGCTTTCCTCACAATACAGTTCAAGGAAGCCTACTCCAAATGTCCAGCCTTCCTTGTATGGCTTAAGAATATTGACAATTATTTACTCTCTGATTGAATACCTGATGTTTTTATTCAAAAGGTATCAAAATGCATTAGGGTCACCTCTCTATAAGTAGTAGGAACTCCGCTCTAGAGAATTTCTGACGAACCCAGAAAAGACATCCAGAAGATTTTTTCCCAATTTTGTGAAGCAGAATCATAATTTTTTCTTTCCTAAGTTGAATTACAGGTACTTCTATTCAAAGATTATCTACCCAGACTTTCAACTATAGGTGTATGTTCCCCGACAAGTAGGTTAGGGTGGGCCACTAGAAGTCTAGCTATTTACCTGGTTATTTAACTTAAGAGAAACTGACTGGTGATAGTGGAGTATTTCAAGAAAGCTTGACTAGAAAACTGCAGTACTATCGACACACAAATTAACATTGTCTATTATAAAATGGATTGACAATCTTGGGATGTGTCTCTTCCCTAGTAAATCTAGAACACTAATTCACACTAAATTCATACACACACACACACACCCACATACCACACAGACATTTCTACAATGTGATTCATCTTCTCATCTAAATAAATAGTGACAAATGAGCAAAACAACTAGGATGTGACAGAAGACTTGCTGCTTCTGGTCTGTGCCATAGATAATTAGTTCTCGGCAAAAGAGACTTGGAAAAAAACGAGAAAGGTAAAAAATTAAATACTTTTAAGTAAATGCAGAGTATGTCTGTGCATTCCAAGTCTCAGAAATAATGTGAAAAGATGTGTGTAAGAAGTTCTAATTCTCCCAAAGAACCAGTCAGAACTCCATTTTTAGAGAAAATACGGAACAGAGCACAAGAAAATCTAGCTTGATTTTACAATTTCAAACTGAAAGTAAAAAATAAGTGGAATAGAATCATATTTTCTTATCTGGAGGCTAAGTTGTTATTTAGGTATAAATTAATTGATTTGCTATTTAATTACTTTTTCGTTCACTAGAAGCCTAGTAGTAAGTTCTTCATTGAGTAGGAGTGTGAATAGTGTAATAGTGGTCTAACATAATTTAGTGGAATTTTGTAGGATCCTTGCAGGACAGACAGTTTAAGTCGTAACTCTGTGTCTCTTCAAAGATCTATTTATAGTCTTTTTTTAGACAAAAAATGTGACCTTGACAACAAAGTGGGAGGAGGGGATTGTGTTTTGTGTTATTAAACCTCTCTGTGTATCATTTCCCATACTTCTATAATGAGAGTAAGAATACAACCTACCTTATGTGATAGCTTGAGACTTAAGCAAACTAATGATTCTAAAACATCTCAGCTATAATAAGTCCATAGTGAATTTAGGTATTTTAATTAGTGCTGCAATTAAAAGTGTTTATCAATATTCAAGTATTTGAGTGCCTACTTTGTAGCAGACACTGGTATTACAAAACTTAGCTTATGTATTCTCAGTAGTCCAATCTCATGAATTACAATTGATATATAATGTGTAATTCACATGCCAAATAATTCTGCATGGTAGAATTTCAAATGCAGGCAAAACTTTCCAGGAAATTCATGTAGTACTGTAGAAATGAAGTTAATATTTATCTTAGCTAGAGTAAGAGATTTCTTAGCTTGAGAAAAGAATTCTCTTAAGAAACAAACATTACCATGGATAAAATGTAGTGTATATGTATACATACAATGGGATATTCTTTAGCCTTAAAAAATAAGGAAATGCTGCTCTTTGTGATAACTTGGATGAATTTGGAGGGCATTATGTTAAGTGAAATAAGCCAGATAGAGAAAGATAAACACTACGTGGTATCACTTATATGTGGAATCTGAAAAAAGTCAAATTCTTAGTAACAGAGAATGGAAAAGTGGTTTCAAATGGCTGGGGGGTGGGGTAGGGGAAATAGGGAGAGGCTCGTAAAAGGGTACAAACTTTCAGCTAAAAGGTGAATAAGCACTGAGGGTCTAATGGATAACATGGTGATTATAGTTGAAATTTATTTGCTAAGGGAGAAGAACTCAGTGTTCTCGCCAAAAAAAAAGAAAAGAAGGGTAAGTATGTGATGTGATGGATGTGCTAATTATCTTGATGGAGGAATACACAATATACTTCACAACGCACACGTATATCAAATATCACAGTGTACGCTTTAAATATCTTACAATTTTGTCAGTTATATCTCAAAAAACTGAAAAAAGAGAAAAAAGCATTACTAGTCAAGAGAAGTTCTATAATTGCTACACATTGTGTCTTCTGTCAAAAAAAGGGCTGAATATCATTTGTCAGTAAAGCGATTGTATTTGTTAGACAGGTATCTTCTCTCTCTATCTCTTTTTTTTTTTCAAGGAAGATTAGCCCGGAGCTAACATCTGCTGCCAGTCCTTCTCTTTTTGATAGGGAAGATTGGCCCTGAGCTAACATCTATGCCCATCTTCCTCTATTTTATATGTGGGACGCCTGCCTCAGCATGGCTTGATAAGTACTGTGTAGGTCCATACCAGGGATCCGAACTGGTGAACCCTGGGCTGCTGAAGTCTCGGAGCGTGCGAACTTAACCACTGCACCACTGGGCTGGCCCCTCTTCTATATTTTTTTGATAGAAGTACGAGACCTTGGATTTTTATCCAAAAATAAAATTAAGATATCAAATAATTGTCTTTATTTACATGGCATCTCATATTTCCCTTTTTTTGTTAGGATCTAAAAAGCAGATGGACAAATTACAAGAAACTTCTAGGGGCTGGCCCCATGGTGGAGTGTTTAAGTTCATGTGCTCCACTTTGGAGGCCCAGGGTTTCGCCAGTTAGGATCCTGGGCATAGACCTAGCATCACTCATCAGGCCATGCTGAGGTGGTGGCCCAAATAGCCAACCAGAAGGACCTACAACTAGAATATATAACTATGAACTGGGGGGCTTTGGGGAGAAGAAGAAGAAAAAAAAAAGATTGGTGACAGATGTTAGCTCAGATGCCAATCTTTGAAAAAAATAAATAAACTAGTTCTGCTTAAGAGACCCTGTACCTATTCTTCTTATAGAGATGGAGCCATAGTTTCTATCTTGTTTAGAGCAGGTTTCAAATGAAATACAGTCCAAAATGGATGAGCCGTGGGCAAAAAGTCCATGTCATCATGAACGCCTGAGTGGTTTATCACAGTAGCTGCATTTAGGTCTCTCATAACCACTGTCAAAGTAAATGAGTAAATTTTTCTTCTGTATTTCCTTCATTCTTTCCTCCTCTCCCACGTTTCCCTTTCTATTCTTATTTTAATTCCTTTTTCATTTTTTTCTTCCTTCTCCCTACTCTTCCTTTCTGCAGAGGATGGCTATTATTGCTCAAAGACTGACATACCACGTTCCTTCCCCTGTATACTTGGGAACTGGAATTTATGAACACACTTATTTCCTTATACAGATATCTGGAGAAAAACTAAACACGTCCTGTCCTTTCATAAAGAGGAGGCTTTTTAAGGGAGCCTAACCATGGACTAATTTGATTTTCTCTTTTTAACGTTTGTATTTTATTTGGGACTGCTGCCCTTATTAGCACTGTTCAGGTATACACCACTAGTCTACACTGAGTTAATTTTCTAGCTTAATTCGAGAACTCTGGAATATATTCACAGAAGAGTTTGTAAAAGTACCTGGTTTTGCTCCATGGGACTTTGAGTACCATTTGGACCCACCTCTGACAGTGGGGAAACACTGAACAATTCTAATACTGATTTGAGATTTTGCTATTTTCTTGTATATCAGACATCTTAATTGCTAAAATAAATGATACAACTCAGAATGATTATGTAGAGATTGGGTTAAAACTTATGCGGGCCAGAATTATGATCCTTGGAACACAAAGGGTGAGGTGAATTGAGAGCTATGTCAGTTGTACATCAGTTTCCTGTATATCAGATGGAATAATCTTTCCTGGTATGGAAATATAATAAATTACTATTGGATTGCAAGGCAGTATATTTGGAAATTAAATGACCCTGATGTGATAGCGGTAGATATCGGTAAGATAGCGATAGACATTGACCAAATTGCTAACAAATTGAATTAGTCAGTTTTGGTTGGTAAAACAGCAACCATTCAAACCATTCAACCATTTCAAATGGGAAGAAATTTATTATAAGGAATTGGATACCTATAGAATCTTTGGAAGGACGAGGGAGTGGAGGTCAGGGAAAACTACCACTATCACCCAAGGGATCAAGAAACTGCAAAATTCACAGGAAGCTAATGCCTATGATCTCACTCCCTGCATAACTGAAGGGGGTAAATGCCCAGAAGGTGATGCAAATTTATGCTTGCCAATATCCACGCCATTGATTGTCACTGTTGAAAGAGAATGACGGTGCCATCTTCTTTTCTGTTTTCCA